TGAACCAAGATAGACGTATTCGTAGTGGTGGCCAAATGGGTCAACCCCCAACTTGGGCACGAGAGGTTTCTTGGCAATGTCTACCCCAGACGAAGGCGCCCATACTATTTCGAGCTAAGATGACTCTTGCCTGTTATCTCTAGGGATCTCCAGGCCAAATACGCCAGGCTCCCTTGTTTCATTTTCCCCCCCTTATCTTATATATAGAGAGAGAGCCCAGCGATCTCGTCCATCCCCAGCCGATAGGGAACGCTAATCAGATATATTGCACGTCTGTCTTGGCTGTGTCCACGTCTCTCACGCCATTACTCCACGAATAGACCCATAAGAGTGGTACGCGCACACCAAGCTGACAACCGAGATTGTTGTATATATGAGCTCATCTCGTTCGTCATCTTCAACAAGTCCTCAACGTACCAGCTCCGATGGGCAACTGGGAAGCACCGCCGCCCCTATACCTACATATCCCATGACTCGGAGTCCGCATTCGTTTGCTTAGGCACGCACAAAGTCGCATACACCCACATACGATAAGACGAAAGAGTAAGATTCACGTGTACACACTACATAACATTGATAAACAGGTTTGATTTCAGGGCAAGTTTCCCCCTTTGTACAGAACGGAGATAATCGACACTAAAAATCTATGATATCCACACCAAGTACCGATGAAAGTTTGACGTCGGTCTGGCTCGACAGATAAGACGATCGAGGTAAGAGGGGGAGATAGAGTAATGGGCCGTCAACAGAAACAGACTTTCGCATCAAGTATCTCTGTCCCAGGTTTTTGTTTCGACGCGTCAAGCGGTCTTGAGCCCCCTCAATACCCCAGACGACAAGACAAGAGAGGGCTCTGTAGGATTGCAGAGAAAAAGGCGGTGTGATATCTTGATTATGCCTGTCCACTGTCTAAAGAGCAAGATTAAGGCTATTCAATGACCGCGGCGGTGAGGCAATCATCACTTCATTCTCATCCGAAAGAAAAGAAAAAAAAAGGGGGAAGAGTGCCACGCTCGCTCCCCTAGTACCACACAACAAGAAAAGGGGGGGTTGTTTCCGAAGAAAGAAAAGTTCCCAGAACGAGAGATGAGAAAGACTCGGGTTGGCTTATCCGCGGCTTGCGACTTTGCCCGAAAATCGAAACTGCTAGGACTTTAGAAACCGCGGTAGCCAGACTTTTCATCAATGTGGCGGTAGCGTTCGCGTTCCTTGCGGTCCTTGAGAAGCATGGCCGTGCATAAGACGAGGAGGGCATCAATACCGACCATGCCGAAGACGGCGGTGAAGATGTTGTCGACGAAGATGTTGGCGAAGCTCGTGATCGGGGCTGCGCAGCCACGCTGCAGGGCCGCGGCGGCGGGACTCGGGCACTGGGCATTAGTGATGAAGGCAGGCGAAGTGCTGTTGAAGTATCCACAGCATTTGAACTGTTGATTTCACGTTAGTCCCAAAGATACTTTATCGATGGGTATCGCGAGGGTCACTTACAGCAGTCTGCATGAGGTCCTGGATCCTGGGGTCTTGAACGTTCCAGGTCTGTCCGAAATCGTTCTTGGTGGTGAGGGTAATGACCCAGAGGTAAACGCCGAGGATGAGACTGAAGACGCCACAGAAGGTCGTCATGTAGCCTGAGATCTTGAGCCAGCCGCGAGTCGGCGTGATCATACCGGGGATGGTGCTGATGAAGGTAATGAAGATGAAGACGGCGTTGGCGATGCCGGCTGCGGCCGAGTCAGTACGTATTACAATTAACATCACCCCACCACGAGATGCGAGCGGGCTTATTCGCATCCCCCCGTCCCTTACGCACCTGTCAATGGAAATTTGGCTGTCAACAGACGCATGACGGCATCAGTTCCTTCCGTCGGGGTCTCCTTCACGAGGTTCTGGTTGATAAGAGAGAAACCGAGGACGAGGGCTCCGGTGATGAGGAAGACGATATCGGCGGCCACGAAGGCCATGAGAATCTTGTTGGCCATGACTGGTGGCGTTTCTCAAAAAAATCAAAAAAATCGAGCAGCCTAGAGACCCGACAACCAAGATGTCGCGCGGAGAGACTTGGCTGCTCCTCTTTCCTTCCCTTTCCTCCCGATTCGAGATGTTCCTCCTCTTACGAAAAATCCTTTTTTTTTTTTTTTTTGCTGGAATAGGTTTTAGACTTAAAAAGATTGGTGAGTTTGACGACCGGCGTCTTTCGATGTTCGATACGGATTCGGTTGTTCGTGCGTCGTCTTTGCCGCGTCGGGGGGTAAGGACTGTCTTCGACCAGCAAAAATCAAGGGAACTTCCACCACACAGCGGGGACAGTCGAGCGCACACCAAAAACCGAACAGGGGAAAAGAGAGGTTGACGAAAACGTCGCGAAGAAGAGAATAAGGAGGTATTGAACGATTGTACAGAAGATGTGAAGGTGGATCAAAAGTCTCCTTCCAAAGGGAAGCGCAACTTGCTACACGAAACAAGAGAGGAGGGAGAAGAGGTTCCTGGTGCAGGCGGTGGTCCGTAAAAGGCGACCAGAGGTCTGAGCCTCAAGGGCGGGAGAGCGTCTGGTAAGGGGGGCCCATAAAACTGTCTCGGACGATACTTGGGCTGGCAAGGGAGGCCCCAGAGAGAATCACCAGATTCGATCAAGCAGCAGAGGGGCGCTCTATCGAGAGGCGGCTAAAGGGGATGGTGGGTGTCACCGTCTTGCCTGGTTACGTAGGGTACTGGCCGTGTTGTGGTCAGGGCCCTCCCCAGTCTTGCCCACGAGCTCTCGAACATTGGCCGCGAGGATGAGAAACGCACTGAAACGTCTTAGGACCAGTCCACAAATCGCACACTGTAAGCGAATACCTGTTACGTCCACCAAAAAACGGTGCGAGATCTGCACAGCCCACATGGAAAGGGAGCACTGGAGAGACTGTGTGAAGGGGAGGAAAATGGGCTGAGGACGGTCATGATGAATCCGATTCCCTGACGAGGTGCGTTTCAGGACCGAGGGGCGATCTCATGCAGGGCACACCCCAAACGAGGACCGGTGCCGGCGCCAGCGTTTACGATTGTGACCAATCACGACGCTTCAATCATCCAACAGTCACCTAATTGGGGGAGGTCGCCCGTTGTGCCAATAGCTTAGGGTTACCATCAGCTGGCTTGGTCCTTGCAGCACTTTACCAGAGAGTGTGTGAGAGTGTGCGTCTTTCTCGAGGGCCGGGCTTGCGCCGCAGTGCAGTGCAGTGCAGTGCAGTGTACTACGTAGTGATACTCAGTATCTACCTACCTTAGTAGGTAGGCAATAGGTCCCTTTTCCCATTTGGCACCACTCTCCCCCACATTCCGCGCCGAAACATAGCCCATGCCTGCGACCATGAGGCTTACATCAGCGGCCGGCGGTCCCCAGTGGTGGGAGAGAGACGAAACTCCAAGCCTCAAGGCGGTCCCTCGTAAGGCTGTACGGGAGAGAGAAAGAGAGAGACGAAAACCCAAAGGGACACTCGAGCCGCCCTGGCTTGATTACATCATCGTCTAGAGACGGGAAAGAGAAACAGGAGACGAGCTCAGGAACCAATGCCTGGAAGGCGTCCACATACCGAGACATGTCACAAACTCGGCGGGATCCCACCCCACGCGCGTCACCATCCCACCAAGCCCGCAACCTGTTCCCGCTAGCATGCGTGTACCTAGACGCCCGGTTTAGACTCCTATGCAGCATGTAAATGGAACCACGCCCAATGGGACACGATGCAGAGTGATCCTTTTAATCCTTTTAATTAGGGGACGGATGTGAACCACAACACCCCATCGTCGCACGGTTTGGTCAGCGGTCTTGCCTTCCATCGACTGCGGTGGCACGACGTTACCGCCGCCTACGTCCAATTTCCAAGTCTTTGGCCGCCCTGGCAAGTTGCAATTCATGTCGCTAGCGCCCATCGTCCCCACTACCTTACTTTGATAAGGTAACCCGGAGATGGATGTCTAGCGCGCACTAAAAAGGCAATTGTCGGTGGGCTTCCGAAACCGATGCTGCTGTTGTTGCTGATGTGACCCTCGGAGACGCCTCGAGGGGTCATGCATGCGCTGGGCCAACCTCGGGGCCTTTTCTTCCTGTCTATTTTGTCTCCCTTGGGATTTCCACCCATCCATTGATCCGCTGAGACTCCGTCTTGCGCAGCCCTAGGATACGACAATAGCACGATATATTGTCCCTGCATGCGCATGCCGCTCGGAGGACCCGGGCTGGGTTGGGACGCCCAGACCTGTCAAAATAACACTGCCCAACTCTGGCCCCCAGCCAAAGGAAAATGGGGCCAAGGCGTGCCGAAATACTGTTGTTGCTGCCTCAACTACCGCCGCCAGTTTCCATCGCTTCGGCACAGGAGCCGAATGGGGCGAGGGAGGGTAAATATTGCCGGTAGATGTCGAGAGGGACTGCCTCATGCTGTTTCGTGCGTGCCCTACAACATCGTTTCGTTGCGGGTGGATGTCGGATATTCTCCGTGGAAAGAAACCAATACAGGAACGTGAACCCGCACAGGCGAGACTTCGACATGTGGGAACGGCCGGGCCCCCGGCATTTCAGAGCCGGTCATGTCGGCAACAGACGGACGCAAGTGCTGGCCTGTTCCAGGATCACGATTCGCGAACAGTCGATCGACCACTGGGTAGGGAAACGTCGCCTCGACTCGCCCAATCTCTCGAGACGGCGGCAGTTGTATCCGGCTAGAGCATGACGTGCTGCAAACAATCACTTGCAGCGTTGCTTGCCTACGAAGTACGCATGCAGATTAGAATTCAACCCACCTAAATTCTGATCACGCCGTTGCGAGGCACAAATCGGCACTTCGACGCCACCGATCAAACTCGGTCAGTAACTAACGCATACTAGCAAATCGTCCCCACACCGAAAGGCTGTGGCGCATTAAGCTTTGATCAACCAATGGCCGGGCTCATTTTAGACTAAGTTATCAGCAACATTAGGAAGAAGATAAAAAAGGGGGAGTGTGGTTAAAAAAGAGTCGGGCCCTAACCAGGGATCGAACCTGGGACCTCTCCCATACTGAGCAGCGAGTCGCAACCCTAAGGGAGAATCATACCGCTAGACCATCAGGGCTACTTGATTCAAGTCATGTTCTTTGAATTATTGGTGGGTGCTGAAATTCCATTCAAGTCGGTAAGGTGAGTGCCTTGCTGTACTACAATCTACAATTTTGTACGACTAAGGACAATCAATGGGGCAGGGATGTTACGCGATGCGATCGAGAGATTGGGGTTTTAGATAAGTCAACGGTGCGGGTGCTCAGTCTCCTCTCTTCATGCCTCTCTTGCGGTACGATATGGTTTCAGCCACATCTCTGACACAGGAGACTCTCGTTGGGTGCTTCTCAACTCGATTGGCAGTACTAAGACAGTGGTATCTTGGCATTGCCAGACCCTCCTCTCTGCTGCCACCTGGACGTATTTACTCTCAATACCTCATTTGCAGGGCAGACACGCCAAAGAAGCCACATTGGTGAACATCCGGCTGCCTTTTGCTAGTCGGATTCAACACGCGCTGATGGGTCCAGGGAGCGATTAACGATGCGAATGACACCTGTTAATACTACAACCAACTTTCAATCCCTTGAATTTGCCACCCTGGATTGAAAGCCTATACCTGGATTAACCCTTGCATCCCCCTTTGTGACCACCACAGCGTCGTTCAGCCGCATCTTTTCGTCCTTGGACCTACATGCTGACGTACAGACATCCACTGACCCACATGGATCCATGTCGCGGTGCCTTTGGAGTGCAAACAGGAAGCTAGGGTTTAGAACGGAATGGATGATACAGAAGATTACTAAGCTACCACTTTGTTTTAAATGTCGACACAAACATCTTGACACCTGCCCCCATATCCTTAGTGAAAGCGGTGACTGAGGACATGAAGATGGGAAGTCCAAGGAGAATAGGAGGCAAATGCCAAACGCCTCGAGGGAGGCTGATGATACATTTATTCCATCATTCTCGTCACATATGTGGGCGATGCTAGAGACATTACGAGGTACACGCGGATTCGTGAAGAATATCAGTGAGCGTGGCCAGGTCACCTTTGGGGTTCTGAGGAGGACGTATGTCCCCTCAGACATCGGCGCATATGATGGCCGTTTTCTATCTGCGGTGTCTACTACTGAGATACCCCCGAGGGCGAATATCCTCTGAATGCTGGAGGGTGTGAGTAATGCTTATCCGAGAATCGGTAGTTCCAGCCAGTACAGACAAGAACGGTAGAGAAGCAATAGAACACCTTAGAAGCTCTTTGTATGCTTGTCTCAGATGCACAGCTGCAGTGAGCTTTGATATTTGTGCCTTCAAGCAACCATGGTACGGCTATAAACCAGCAAGATTGACGCACAACTGCTGTCCCATGAGTAAGTTGTATCCATGATTCCTGTGACGGATGCCCCTGTTCTTGCTGCTGTAGCCTCTGCCCAGGGTTTAGCAAGCCTCTTAGGTATTTAAAACAACGTGATAGTGCTATGCATTTACCTAGAATGTTAACAGAACCCTTTATTGTTATACTGATGTTGTATCCTGGCCCCTGGTCTATGTTAGCTTTTAGGTTCAGCTGACTTTTGGAAATAGTTGGAATGAAAGAAATTAACAGGACATGAATGCTACGCCAATACACTACCTGAATCCTCAGAATATTTTGCTGCAGCCTCTATGCAGCCTTCCCTCCTTGCTGAGCACCGGCCTGTTGTGGCCTGCGACCAGCCTTAAGCCGAAGCAAATCCCGTATCTCACTCTGAACGTCCTTCGTGCAATAAAACCGTCCACAGAAGCAACAAGGTTACAAAATAGGTTCTCTTTGATAGCCTGCACGGCATGGAAGCTTTGAAGTCGAAATCTGCAGATCCTCCGCCGGTCCCTTTCCTGACAGAATTGGGTAGGTCTCTTCCTTTTGGGGGGGAGGGGGTTCATCCAAATGCAGGGCTGTGTGTGTCTCCCACGGGTACCGTCGAGACCACTATGGTATGATTTGATTGTCGTGTCATGAAATAGTGGCCTTGGCTCCTTTTGTGTGGCTTTGGGTTGTTTTATTATGACGGGCGTTAAGTTCCCCACGCTTCTTCTTCAAAGTCTAGAATAGAGCTGCTCAAGTCGTCCTTGACTACCTGTTGGAGGCTTAGAAAAAGGTTCAGAGAAGAGGAAATATTATGGTAATGTAGTCATTACTTTGCTTGTCTGGAGTCATCTCTGATAAAACGGCTATCACTGTGGTAGAGCATCTTTTCAGGAGACAGCCTACCCACCATATGTGATCATGCCAAGGCTTTGCTAGCGAGCTAGGACTGGAAGTTTGAAAATTTCGGAAGCAAGGTTATGCGGGTTATCGTCAAGCTTTTACTTGGGCAATGGTGTCTATATGACTGACCCGCGTACCAAAAGCCATCTGCTAGACCGATGATATTGAGTGACCCAACCACATGATCGGAATAATGGTCAGGAACTGCAAGTTCTCTGTGGAATATGATATCTCAGTGCTCAAATATAACATACTACAGGCATCGCTGGGCATGGCGCGATTTATCCTCGGGCAGGCCAAGGCGAGGACCCCTAAGAGTCTTCCCGTAGGGATACTATGGTAAGAAACGTCGGGCCTAACTGTGGTTGTTGCCCTCGATCTTTCATCTGTTCGTGAAATTTATGAAAACAAGAATGAGTGTCTAGATTCATGTATCAACAAAGTGACATTTAACAACGGTATGCATACGGCCAGACAGCCATTGTCGGGAGTTGGTTGGTTGACAACGTACTTTCTGGCTTGGGGTCTCCAAGGTGCTGGTGCACAAGCCGTGTTTCGACCTTTCATTATCATACACATACTCTATATCCAGACACTGAGGTCAAGGAGAGCTATTTCGAATGGCCAGAGGGGCAAACTGGCTCTCATCTTCTGTCACATATCGCGCAACGTCGCCCTGTGAACTGAGAAATAGATGCTCGTCTGTAGTAAAAGTAACTGACTAAACAGGTAGATGGAATGGGGAAGAACCCAGGACAGATTCCTGATAAGAAAGCTTTTCCAAATCTAGTTCGCCTTGCTTGTTTACTTCTATTGTTACAGCGACCGACTTGTGCCAGTATCTGAAAGCAAATAAAATTATGACGAAGGATCTCGGTATATGCTTATTACTGTCAACTTCAACTTCAGTGTCATCAGAATCCCGGTGAACTGTTGTGAGGTATAGAACAATACGGCCGCGTCCATCTGGGGAAGGATGTCTGGTCATCTATCGACCAGAAGGGTCGAGTGCGTGCCTTCTCATACTTTGTCCTCGCTTTAGAGCTCCTGTGGCTGTCCAAGAGCAATACAACCGAGCACTTTCGCGGTAACCATTGTTCTTATAACGTATCAAAAGCCGGTTTTGCCTTATATAGTGTCGTTGATTGATGAGATCAAGTTGAGGTATTCCATACCACAGATCCTAGAGTCACAAGAACCGTCAAGTCTTTGATCCACGCACACGAGTGATCTCAATACAGAATTACGAAGTAGCTACCCATTTTAAACATATAATCAAAAGAACATGGCCCCAGAAAACTACTTTAATATTGAGGTCTCTTATCACAATGTTGAGATCAAGCTTGTGCATCCAAGCGACCGTGAAGCCTTATTGCGTTTCTTGGGGTTATGTTGTACTCAAACTGAGCCCCTTACCCACCGAACGAACCCATGGCTTTCGCGGAACAGTTTGGTCGCACACACTACTCGTGATTTCTGCATCAGGGAGTGCATATAGTCTGTGATGGACCCAGGAAGCGTGCGTGTCAAACCTCGTATCCGTCGAGGTTGCGCGCCGTTGTCAGCTTCCAACGGTAAGTCCATTGACTTCTGGGCAAACAGATTATCGAGTGCGAGACTGTGAGGTCTTGCAACTCTATCATCCATGGTATTCCCTTTGGCGTTACAGCCCATTACGGCGCAAGCAGTGCCATACTGACACTCACAGAGCCAAGTGCCGCAGCTCTCTCTAGAGAAACATATTGAATGAGATGTGACAATGAAATGCGAAAACTACTAGCTTATCAAGTCTGTATAAAGCTCTGTGGGAGGCCGTGAAAGGCAAAAGGAAAAGGGATCTGTTGCGGTCGATCGGCGTTGTTTTCACCTCCCCTAGCTTAGTACCCAAGACTGACGCCAGGAGACAACGGAAGAATTGGCAGGAGTAACAAGGGCAGCAGACTGCATAGATAATAGGCTCCGAGAGATAATACTGTCAGAGATGTATTGGAGGGGTGATGATCATGAGGTAGTCTCTGCTCCCTCGCCGCACGTATAGTAGACATGACATCTTCCAACGGGCGAATCAACTCACTGCGCGCGGTTTCCATGCAGACGGGTGATTGGACACGAAGGCACTCAAATTGGGCAAGTTGACCCCGAGTAACAGGATAACAGAAACGGACTGTTGTCTGAAGCGTCGTAGAAGCCTTAACAGACCTTGAGCTTGGGATTACCTGTAAGACTCAAGGAACTCCACCCTGCAAAAGGGAGCAACGTAGGGGGCATGGCGATGTCTCAAACCAAGACCAACGGGTACATAATGAGCACACTTTGCCTATAGAACATGGATTATAGGCTCCAAGGTGAAGTGACTTCTCTCTGCCGTCGTAGCAACCGTAGCGAGACTTGATGCTACCGCAGGCTCCGGAATGTTATCTCACAAGGACCCGTCCACTGTCCTCCCGAATCCCAGCAATCGCGTTTGTCTGTCCCCAGGAGCCCCGTGCCTCCTAAGTTTTACTTCAGCAGGCCGAAAACATGCGTCGAGCCAAGGCTCGCGTTCTGTCTGTGGATTCTTCAATCACACTGGGCCGGCGGAATGAAGCCTGGGGCCCTGGAGCTTGAGCGTGTGGAGCAGACTCTAGAGAGGGGCCGAAGCGCTCTGCGTGATGTGGGAGCCCAGCTCCTGGGACAGGGTGCCCAATTGTCAATCGTTTCCAGTCCTCTGAACAATCTGAAGCCAAATGTGTGTCCCTCTTAGCTCTTAGGAGTGCGTCTGTTGATGACCGCAACCGGGAGGCCTGGGCTCGGTGTTTTCTCTTGTTTATGAATGCTGTTCCGCC